GACTCTGGCTTGTGTCAAATTGACACAGAAACCAGCTTGCACAGGGTTTATGAATGCTTTTGTTATCTTTGAATTGGAAAAAAATAGAACCCACTGAACCAATGGTCTATCTCTGGTTCTAAGCTAAGCGACCAAGGCATACTTTGGGACCCTGGAAAGAAAGGAGGTATGGGAGGTACCATGTCAGTGTTCAGGCAGCGAAACAAATTACTCAGGTCTTTTAAACAGAAGGACGTGGTGACAGGGGTATGGGAAAGGCCAAAGGAGTGAAAAAGTGCCCAGTCGTCATCAGGAGCCTTTGCTTGAAGCTGATCTCACCCCTGAGGCTGAAAGATGGTGAAGGAACCAGCTTCCCTTTTGGCAGCCATAATGGCCGAACATGTGCTTCTATGACCTTGTTCTAGACACTAGAAAGTCAGATGCCTGTCTTGTGACAAGGAACCAATCAGAAGTTAGCTGGTGGAGCTATGCTTTACGACCCTGGGTGTGCTTTATGGACAAGCGCACAGCAATGGCGTAGAGAGCACAGCAACCACCCTGGGAGGGCCTATGGGCCATAACAACCAGTTGACCAATCAACACAGGGCAAGCCTGGAGGCTCACCAATCGTGAGCCTGTGCGTACCCCTAGACACTCCCCTTACACTGCCCTATAAGATCTTTCAGGAGCCCCTAGGAGCCATCTTTTCTAGCTGTCTGCCATGGTGGGTGGGTAAAAGACCCGAGCTAACATGGGGTTAGCTCGTTAAATTACAATAAAGCCTCGTGCAGTTTGCAGCAAGCTCTCGAATCCGCCTGGTGATTGGGGTGACCGCGAACGTGGCCTGGGACCCCGGATACTTGAGGTTTTCGGGGATCTAACAATGGAAGGGAATGAAAATTGCTGGGGGCCAGAGACACCGCCTGATCTGGTGGGGTCCCAAACTAGCAATTCAAAACCTGCTATTGCTTCTTCTAAATACCTCCTCCCAGTCACATGATCTCACCTGCAAAGAGCCTGGGTGTTTATTGAGCGATTAACTACATATGCATACAACAACTCTGCCTGAGAATAGGGACCCTTTAGAGAGTAATTCCACACACACGCACACACACACACACCTGAGACAGAGATTCCCACTCAACTCAAAGCCTGTTCTGGCTAGGCTGGCTAGCCAATGAGCACCTGGCATCTACCTGTCTCTGTCCCTTACATCTACCTGTGCAGCCATATCCAGCTTTTCATATGAGTGCTGGGGATTTGAACTCAGGTCCTCATGCTTGCATCACAAATACTACTACCTGCTGACCCATCTTCCCAGTCCTGAGGTGTGAGGTGTTTTTTGTTTGTTTGTTTTTAAATTAAGGTCAGTTTCCTCCCTTTTCCTGGTCCACTTCAGTGTTTTCCCCAACCCCCGCCCCCCCCAACACACACCCCTGTCCTTCTGTCAGCTGCTTACCTGATGTCACTGTGTTCTTTGCAGGGCATCCTAGCCCAGCCCCAGCCCTGGTGGAAGATCCAGTTGTTCATGTGGGAGCCAGTGCTGTTTGGGACCTGGGATGGCGTGTTCACTTCCTGCATGATCAACATTTTTGGGGTTGTCCTTTTCTTGAGGACCGGCTGGCTGGTGGTGAGTGATGAGCTGGTGACCCTGGAATTTCTCATGGACATGTGACCTGGAAAGGCATCTTGGATCCCACAATTTAGGCAATAGGTTCCTGAAGCACAGATTCTCCTGGGAGGAGAAGCAGGAAGCACATTGCATGACTGCCAGTGATTTTAGAGTAAGAATCCTGGGAGCCTGGGCCTCAGAGGTGCCCCAGTGAGAGCCTCAGGATGGACCTGACTATATGGGGTCAGGGTTCATTGTGAGTGGGACTAGAGACAGGGCAAGGATCAGAGAGATGCTGATTTTTTTTTTTTTACTCTAGTTTGTAACCCTTCTGGGATTCCTGGTGTTTGTCACATCACTTTGTGCCCCTCTGAAACATCAACCCCCGTGCACATGGTTCCCTTTCTCACTGCTCTTGGTCCTGTTCATAGGGCTGCTTGGTTAGAGGTGTAAGTTCCTACTTCTCAGGATTTACTGCTCAGGACAGACCCTCTTGTCTAGATCCTGATGGTTGAGTTCATCTTTTGCTCAGGGCACAAAGGACATCTCCTTTATACCTTGGGCAAAAATGTCCTAGCACTTCCCTAGCGTATGTGTGCCCAGCCAGGTTCCCAGAACCCTCACACCTTGCCTTCGCACTGAACTTCAATAGGCTGAGCAAACTGCCCGGAAAAGAGCTACACACCAGTGAAGGCCTGGTGTGTATAGACACTAATGCTGCCCTGGGATTATAAAATCTTAGCCTTTGTTCCTCTGGTGGTGCAGACTTGCATTAAGAGAGATCTCTTGAGCATTAAGGCCCCCCTAGGAGTGGATGCAAGGTGTCTGGGAAAGCTGCCTGGAAGAGGAGTTGCTGGAGGCTTGAAGGCTGGATAGGTGAAGGGAGAGAGCTGTTCAGGGGGACTATGTTCCCAAGTGCTTGACAGAGAAACGGGCAATGTACCACACCCATGAGGTACATTGTTGGGTAAGCTTTAGTGAGGGCGAGACTCTAGAAGGCATTTATTTCTGATGCAGTCTAGAGGCAGAATGCCCCTTGGGAAGCCTCAGGCTTAAATCCTTTTGTTTTTTTTTTTTCTGAAGTTATCAGTGTCAGGAAAGAAGACAGCTCCACATTGAGTCTTTAGCCCTCTCTGTTTGATTTTTAAGAAATGCTATCTAAAATAAGCTCCATCCCCAAAGTGAAGGTTTAAGTTGTATTCACTGTTTGTTGTTGTGTATGTACTCAAGGTTCCTGTGAGGCTGCAGTTGGTGTCAGGCACGTGTTGCTCTACTGGATCACTCAAGTACCACTTGGCAGGCTTTGGCCATGTCACATCACGTGGTCTCCCTGTGGGGCTGTCTTCTTTTCAAGGCTGCAGACTTCCACCAAGATCACAGATAGAGTAGGAGAAAGTTCCTGCCTGTAATGGCGGCCAACGTCTCTTTAATGTCCTAGCTTCAAAAATTATATCCCATCACTTCCGTGGGACACTGAATGCAGGTCCACAGAGGGCAGGAGACCACACAAGGACAGGAACACCAGAGTCAGGGGGGGTCACAGGCCATCTTTGAGCTTGTCCGTCCTTTTGTCCTAAAATAACCTCTACCTTTCAACTCTGCCATTGGTATCATATTTTTGATCATGAAAAGAGAAGATAAATACGAAATGCCCAAAACGAGACAGAGTATCCAGAGAATTGTATGAAATCGAAGCAGATATAATGCCAAAAGCATTTCTTAAATAGAAAATACTAGCCCTAGAGCAACTTGGAGCAGTGATAGCGACTGCTCTGTTCTGAAAACCCAAGGTTGTTCTTGGGGGGTGGGGTGGATCTTTGTATTCACATGCAGACAGCTTTCAAGTATGGACAAAAGAAGGAAATGGCTCTGTAGGATTTCATTGGCAGTGGGATATTAGCAAAGTCAGTAGTGGGAACACTCAGATGTCGTGCTCAGGTGTACATGTCTTGGGGACACCAGCATCCGGGACCTGGGGCTGCACCATGAGTGGAGGGAGCCACTCGGGGACTTTGTTCCTGTCAGCCGTTCTCCACCCTTGCTCTCACCACTACCAGCTAGCACTGCCGCCACACCCAGGAATTCAGCAGTGTCCTTTGCCATCTGGCACTATCTGGGCTTTGCACACGTGGCTATTGGCATTATCTTTTGAAGGGAGCTCACAGCTGTCCTTATGCATCAGCCTAGGCCTTGGGGACGTTTAGAGGGTACAGAATTTATAAGCTGTATAACAATAATTATTAATAATAGTATAACATTTATAGCAAAATAAGATATAGCAAGTAAGACTTATCGAGCACTTATGTGACAGGTGGCAGTCAAAGTGAAGTAAATGTGTTTAATTCTCTAAAATTGAATGTTTCCTGACAGCTACGAGGCAGATATGGTCTGTTCTATGAGGAGACAGCTCAGAGCCGTGAGGTAGCAGAAGGCATAGTTGAGGAGCAGCGTCCTGATTGCTCACGGTTGGCATGCAGAGCCCAGCTCTCTGCAGACAGATGTCCCCTAAGGGAGCCTCCTTTGCTTCGGTCTCCACACTAGGTCAGATGTGCAGAGGCCCCTCTGGCAGTGACTACTGCTGCATTGTCACAGCTGTTTGTTAGGCTTTGGAGTGGCCCCGAGCCTCCTATGGATTTTTGTTTTCTTTCTTTGTTGGTTTTTTTTTTTTGCTTTCTGGGCTTGAACCCAGGCCTTATAATAGGTAAGCGCTCTGTCATTTCTGTTCTGTTTTATTCCCTCAAGGAGCTTGGCTTAGTTAACAAAGACACCTATAATACTGTAAAATAAAAAATAAAAATTGTGAGAGAGGGGGTTCTTGAAGGGCCTTTGCTTGCCGCCTGAGCTCTTCTAGTTGGCAAGGTAACTCAATGCCTCTCCCAGTGGCCTCAGAGGGGACAGTGGATAGAGAGCCTTGCTTCTGGACCTACTAAGTGGCAGTGTTCAGGGCAGTTGCTATAAAAGAGAAAACCAGAATGGGTTCGTGTGAGACCCACAGTCAGAAGAGTTAGGATGCAAATATCCTCATGGTATCTATAAAAACCTGCAGATTAGTAAGAACGGGATAGCAAAATGCTGGGTCTTGGAATAGAAAGAACACTGCCTCCCACCCCTGAGATCTTGCTCTCCATCCTAGACCAACAATGTAGCTGAGCACCCCTCACTTTCTGGGCATCCTCCAGCTTATTGTAAGGCCCCTCTGCCATCCCTTCATTCTGTCTCCAACAATCAGCACACCTTCTGAGGGGCTCCATCACCCATGCCCTTACAAAGCAGGCACCATTGCAAAGGGCTCGCCCCGTGTCCTTTTCCCTTCTTTTGATTTTCACACTGAGATGTGTCAGCGTGCATGTCCAGGAACGTGTGCTTATTTCTTATTTGCTCAGAAAGCACTTAGTATGCACCAGCGAGCATGGATGGGGATAGAAATGTGTCCTGTCCTCACAGCTCAGACCTGGGAAGAGACTTGGTAACTAGAGACTTATTTAGCAAGTACTCTGAGAAGTAAGCACTAAGCTGGGAGTACCGGAGGGCTCAGAAAGGTGTCAATGATAGCTACTAGAGGGAGAAATCCTGGATACTGTGTTCAAGGATGCTTTAGAGTTAACCTGGCAAGCCAGTAGAATGAGGAGAAAGGGCTTTCTAGGCAGGGAACTGGTATTGGTAAGAGGATGGCAGGGAGAGCCTTTTGTGTCCTTTTGTGCTAGGTCAAGGTTACCTGCAGGGTAGATTTACAGGCTCCTTGTAAATCTCTCGTTTTTTTTTTTAATAATTTGTTTTTTATTTCATTTGTATCAGTATTTTGCCTGCATGTATGTCTCTGTGAGGATGTCACATCTTGGGAGTTATAGACAGGTGTGAGCTGCCAGGTAGGTAATGGGAATTGAACCCAGGTCCTGAGGAAGAACAGCCAGTGTTCTTAATTGCTGAGACATTTCTCCAGCATCAAATCTCTGTTTTAATTTTACCTTTGTGTATAGGAGTGTTTGACTACGTATATGTGTACCACATGCATGCCTGGTGCCTGAGGGGTCAGGAGATCAGTCCCCTGGGTCCCCTAGAACTGGAGTTAACAGATGGTTGTGAACGACCATGTGGGTGCTGGGAACTGAACCCTGATCTTCTCCAAGAACAACAAGTGCTCTTAACTGCTGAGCCATCTCATCTCTCCAGCCTGGCTGGTCAGTCTCTTGAGTTGCCTTCACTTTAGCCACGTGTGGTATAAAGTTATTAGAGTCTGAAGGATGGACTTTCCACCTATCTGAGACTTCTTGGAGGCCTTAGCTTGGAAGAAGATCCAGGAGGTACTTTACACTTCTTTTTCTCCCGGTCCCTTGGTGTGCCCCTCTGCCCAGTGGGTCACCCAGTGGGTGGGTATTAAGAAACTCAATTAATGTGAATTGCAATGGAGTCAGAGCCAGTTTGAAAAACAGATGGTTTATTAGGAAAGTACTCACGAGATGGAGCCAGTCCTGTACAAGCGGGCAGGTGAGGGAACAGAGAGAGCTGCATGCGTGCCACCTCATATTTAAAACCTTGGGCTACGTCACTCTGACTATGCCCAAGTGTGAGTGGATAGTGTCACCTCTGCCAGCCCCCAAGTGGGTGTGGACAGCGTTGCCTGTGCCAGCCCTCAAGCAAGCATGACCAGCATTTCCCCCTACAGGTGGGGGTACTCAGTCCTTCCATTGGGAACAGCTCTAGTGAGATGTCTCCTAAATCTGATACCCTTCCCCCATTCTGCTGCAGGGAAACACAGGTGTGCTCCTGGGCTTGCTCCTGGTGTCCTTCGTCATCCTCGTGGCCCTCATCACCGTGCTGTCTGGCATTGGCGTCGCAGAGCATGGCGGGATAGGCAGTGGTGGCGTCTACTCCATGATCTCCTCAGTCCTTGGTGGGCAGATGGGAGGCACTGTTGGGCTGTTGTATGTGTTTGGACAGGTGAGACTGCAGCATGATTCAACTCTTGCCTCTGCCTGTTCATTTGCCATTATCTCCTTTTCCCCTTCCTAATTTGACCTGGGGGGAGGCAACGGTGGGGACAAGGGCCACACTGATAAAGGACCACACTGGGCTCTGAGGAGGAGCACACACCAGCAGCAATCTAGGTCAAGAGCCTGAAATCCAAAGATCCTGACTGTCTCCTCCTACCTCTGCCTCATGAATTCCTGGTGAGCCCAGGCCAGCGACTGGCAGTGTCTCACTTCTGCTGCCTTTCTAAGAGGGGTGTGCATGGCTGGGGTGTGCATGGCTGGGCTGTGCGTGGCTGGGCTGTGCGTGGCTGGGCTGTGCGTGGCTGGGCTGTGCGTGGCTGGGCTGTGCGTGGCTGGGCTGTGCGTGGCTGGGCTGTGCGTGGCTGGGCTGTGCGTGGCTGGGCTGTGCGTGGCTGGGCTGTGCGTGGCTGGGCTGTGCGTGGCTGGGCTGTGCGTGGCTGGGCTGTGCGTGGCTGGGCTGTGCGTGGCTGGGCTGTGCGTGGCTGGGCTGTGCGTGGCTGGGCTGTGCGTGGCTGGGCTGTGCGTGGCTGGGCTGTGCGTGGCTGGGCTGTGCGTGGCTGGGCTGTGCGTGGCTGGGCTGTGCGTGGCTGGGCTGTGCGTGGCTGGGCTGTGCGTGGCTGGGCTGTGCGTGGCTGGGCTGTGCGTGGCTGGGCTGTGCGTGGCTGGGCTGTGCGTGGCTGGGCTGTGCGTGGCTGGGCTGTGCGTGGCTGGGCTGTGCATGGCTGGGGTGTGCATGGCAGGGCTGTGCATGGCAGGGCTGTGCATGGCAGGGCTGTGCGTGGCTGGGGTGTGCGTGGCTGGGCTGTGCGTGGCTGGGGTGTGCGTGGCTGGGGTGTGCGTGGCTGGGGTGTGCATGGCAGGGCTGTGCATGGCTGGGCTGGGCATGGCTGGGCTGGGCATGGCTGGGCTGGGCATGGCTGGGCTGGGCATGGCTGGGCTGGGCATGGCTGGGCTGGGCATGGCTGGGCTGGGCATGGCTGGGCTGTGCGTGGCTGGGGTGTGCGTGGCTGGGCTGTGCATGGCTGGGGTGTACATGGCTGGGGTGTGCATGCTGAGTGAGCACATCCACTATCCACACTGGCTGCCTACTGCAGCCTAAGTTAGGATTTGTCTCTGAAGGAGAGAGTGTGGAGGATGTGCCTATCTGCTACTACTCAGGTCTCCTGAACACCTGATTGACCAAAACAAAGGCCCCGGGATGGAGGTTTCTATCCTGAGAGTATGCCTCTTCCTTTCTTTAAGATGGTGAGCGCCCCCCACCCCTTATGTGGCAGGGCGCTACAGATGTTCCTGTGTTGAGAATGGTAAAGAGAAGGAAACGTCCCTGATTATGGTAGAAGGAAATGAAAACAGTTTCCAACTATAATGAGCTCTGGGAATGTTTACAGAAACTCAGTACTGCTTTCCAAGGAAGAGTGCGTTCCAGCCTGGATGCCTTAGGGCAGCTGGCTTGCTCAGGAAGGCTTGGGGTTCAGACCGGTCGGCCCTATGTCAGCTGTCTCAAGCCGGATGTGGGCTAAGGCCTTGAGTTCTGAGTCAGAAGGGACTATACTTTCCTGCCTGTTCACAGGCCCCTCTTCCCTGGAGATGGGTTCACTTTGTAACTGGGTACAAGGCACTTTTGTCAGTATACCCCAGATGTATGCAGGTATTCCATCTCCATGGTGATGGGTGTGTCACCTGTTATGAAGGGACCAGCTCCCCTTTCGGCAGTCTTAGCGGCCGAAGTGCTTGTTTGACCTTGTCTTAGTCACTAGAAAGTCAGATGTCTGCTTAGTGACAAGGAACCAATCAGAAGTTAGCTGGTGGCGCTATGATTTACTACCCTGGGTCTACTTTACAGACAAGCACACAGCAATGACGCAAAGCATAGCAACCACCCTGGGAGGGCCTATGGGCCATAACAACCAGTTGGCCAATCAACACAGGGCAAGCCCTCCAAGCCTGGAGGCACACCAATCCTGAGCCTGTGTGTACCCCTAGACACTCCCCTTACGCTGCCCTATAAGATCTCAGTCCTGTGGCTTCTCAGAGTTTTTTGCGAGCCATCCGCCATGTTGGGTGGGTAAAAGACCCGAGCTAACATGGGGTTGGCTCGTTAAATTACAATAAAGCCTCATGCAGTTTGCAGCAAGCTCTTGAATCTGCCTGGTGATTGGGGTGACCGTGGTCGTGGCCTGGGACCCCGGATACCTGAGTTTTCCGGAGGTCTAACAGTTAGAAATGTAAAGGCAATACAGTAACTCTGATGGGTGTGGTGGCTCTCCCCTCCCCGACTCAGGATCTTACTATACAGCCTATATTGCCAAGTAATACAAGCTAGTCTTGAATTCCTAATCCTCCTGCCTCTACCTTCTTAGTGCTGGGCTGTTAGACAAATGCCCCCATCCCTAGCTTGATAGTCAACCTTGACTGTCAACTTGGTTGGCTGTAGAGGAACTTAGTAAAGCCTATGTCTTGCTGTGTCTGTGAGGGTAAGCAACTGAGGGGTGAAGAGCTGTCCTGACCTCAGACACCACAGTCCAGTAAGCTGGGGGTTGGATGGAAGAAACCACAGAAGAGGATGTCAGAGCGGAGGGTAGTCGTCCTCAGCAGGTGCATGCATGCTCCACCACCACCCATTAACATCAGACTCCGGCTTTGGCAGCCTTCGATGCAGACACACTCCAGTGACATCCAGGGAGCTTCCAGACCCTTGGCTTGAGGCTGGTACTGCATCTTGGTCCCCCTTGTCCTGAGGTTTTCATCTCTTGGACTTAGCAGCTATTCGCTTCTCTGGATTCCCAGCTTGTAAATGACCACGTGGGACCACCCAGCCTCTGACTGTGCAAGCCCACCCAGTAAATCCCCTTTTGGAATTTGCATGTGCATTCACTGAACCCTGGCCGGGAGAGAGTGCTTATGCTTTTCTGTGTTCACCTTGGAACAGCAGCTTCCTCTTAACCAAGCAGCAGGAGGCTATGGTGACATTGTGCCGTGTTGTTAGAAGCTGGCCAAGTCAACAGGACTTCGCCCAGGCAGATTTAACTGAGTTAGAGTGGTGATGCAGTGGTAATGGTTACAGGTGAGGGCACTTGACGATGAAAGGCAGCACATCCCACAGCAGTCACAGAAGGCTTGCATCACGCTTAGCAAATGGAGGATACTGAAGAGGCGAAACAAGCATTGAGTTTTTAAAACTTGTATCTGGTGTGTGCACTTGCCTGATTATGTGTTCACATGGTTATAGGTGCGTGCGTGCGTGCGTGCGTGCGTGCGTGTGTGTGTGTGTGTGTGTGTGTATGCTGTAGAGGCCTGAAGTTGACACTGGCATTTTCCTTAGTTACTTTTTTTTTTTTTTTTTTGAGGCAGGGTTTCTTGCTGAATTCACAACTGGCTAATTCCAGCTAGGGAATCCCTGGAGATCCCCTTTGTGTGCCTCTATGTGGAATGCTAGGATTACCATCAGCCACCACACCTAACCAGCTATTGCCATGGGTTCTGGGGACCTGAACTCTGGCCTTTACACTTGTGCAGCAAATGCTTTATCCACTGAGCCATCTTCCCAGCCCAAATATTTTATTTTTTAAAGGGGGGTTTGTATTCTTGGTGCAGGAGACAGTAGAATCTCGGCCTGGATAATTATATAGCACCGACAGTAAATTTAATGTTTACTGAGTGACCAGTGAAAGGAGAAAGAGCTTGTGGAAAAGAAGAACTTGAATAGGTTCAAACTGAATTTGTTCCTGGGACAATGGCAAGGACAGGGCTGCACTGATGAGGGTGACCAGCAGAGCCTGGGGCTGAGTAAAGTGACCAGTCTAAGGAGAAAGGGGACCAAGGTTGGTGATTATGCAAAGTGATGCTCATGCCACCAACATTTTATTACATTTGTTTATTGTGCGTGTGTGTCAATGTATATGTGTATGTGTATATTATATATATGTGTGTGTGTGTGTGTTTGTTGTGTGTGTATATATTGTATATATGTGTGTATGTACATATTGTGTGTGTGTGTAGGTGTGCATGCAGAGGTCAAAGAACAACTTGCAGGAGTTCTCTCTCTGCTTCAACCCTGTGAGTCCTGGAACTCAAACTCAGGTCACTAGGCTTGGTGACAAGTGCCGTCACCTGATGAGCCATCTTGCTGCCCCACACATGATACTTGTTTTTTTGTTTTTAGAGACAGGGTCTCACTGTGTGGCTCTGTAGACACGTATGACCTTGAACTTACAGAGACCCACCTGCCTCTGCCTCCCAAGTGTTGGGATTACAGTGGGCACCACCATACCCAGCTCTCGTCACTCTTAACTACTTATTTGGACCTGCCTCTCAAGTATTTCCATAAAATGTAAAATCATGACTCTAGTGTATGAGTGAGTGTAGCCTACTAGTAAGATGTTTAAGAACACTGAGGAGTGAGGTATGGATGCCAGACAGACAGAAATCAAATCTGCACCTCCACAGTTAGGCACTTTAGTCAGCAAATGGAAGGATGAGTTTGCTGGGTTCGACATCAAACTAGCCACTCTTTTATAGGACTGTAAACCTTAATCCTTCGGACTATCTGGTCACCAGATGAAAGCTATTTTTGTATCTACTATTGATGGGCAAAAAAGCATTATAAATTAACATGTAACTTTACTCAGTCTGGGACATTTAATGCTAATTTAATCAATAGTGAATAACGAACCAGACCCTGGCTTCACCTGGATAGCCTGTGGACACCTTTGCCACACACCACACTGAAAAGATGTGGCACCTACTCTCTTTTATTCTAGTTCTATTTTTTTTTTTTTTTTGAGTCAGGGTTTCTCTGTGTTGCTTTGTAGACTAGGCTGGCATTGAACTCACAGAGATAATCCCTGCCAGTGCTGGGATTAAAGGTGTATGCCATCACTGCCCAGCTTCTAGCTCTGGAATCTTGTTTATTTAAGACAGGCTCATTCTATATAGCCCTGGTTGGCCTATGTAGATGAGACTGGCCATGGTTTTCCATGATCCTCCTGCTTCTGCCTCCTGAGTATTGGGATTACAGCATGTGCCACCATGCCTGGCAGCTAGATAAGTAAAAGAATAATACTGCCAGGGATTGTGGCTTGGAGGCTGAAGAAGAAGGGTTACTGCGAGTTTGAATCTAATTTGTGTTATATAGGGAGGGTCAGGTCAGTCTGGGCTACAGTGTTAGACCCTGTCTTAAAGAACCAAAACCAACCGATACAAACCAAACCAAAACAACCTGATTTATAAGCCTGGAAACTTTTTACTCAGTCAAGTGCTTGTTTGTAAGCCTGGGCATATGCATTTGATCCCTAGAACCAGTGTAAAAACCAAACAAGGTTTGGTGTGGTGGCGTATATACTAGAGAGGCAGAAGTAAGAGGATCCATGGGCTGCTGGTCAGTCAGCCTGGCATTCTTGGCCAGTCCTAGGCCACTAGGAGAGTCTGTTTCGAAAAAGAGCTGGACTTACATGCACACGCACATGCACACGTTAAAAGAAATGGCGTTCAAATGTCTGTGGGACAGCACTGCTGTGGCTCTGAGGAAAAGGCCCTTCCTGCATGGGTTTGTTGTAGAGATTTACTTAATGAATAACGCAGGCAGAGAAAGCCAAAGGCCTTTTTGACCCACTATCCCATAATCTTTTTGCCTTGGTGACCACTGGAAGCTCTCAACCAGGGCTCATTCCTCTCTTGTTCAATATGTAGATGAGCAGAAATGGGGCCCTGAGGCGGGTTCCCCTGTGGAGGAGCAGGTTTGACCTGGTGCTGACTCCCAGGTAGAGAGACACAGTGCTGGTGGAGTGTGTGTGTGTGTGTTTGTGTGTCTGTGTGTGTGTCTGTAAGCAGGTAGGTCTGCAGCTGATACATCTCTGTTGCTGGCTCTTCCTGCTGGGAATTGCCTGGCAGTGTGTTGCAGGTGCCATGTACATCACTGGCTTCGCTGAGTCCATCTCAGATCTGCTGGGCCTTGGGAACATCTGGGCTGTTCGAGGAATTTCGGTTGTTGTACTTCTGGCTTTGCTGGGCATCAACCTAGCTGGTGTCAAGTGGATAATCCGCCTCCAACTGCTGCTGCTGTTCCTGCTGGCTGTCTCAACCCTGGATTTCGTGGTTGGCTCTTTCACCCACCTGGACCCAGGTAGGCCCTTGGAGTGCAGTGCTTTGTAGATGTTGATGGGTGTAATTTGTGGAGTACCTTCCCTTCCCACAGGCTGTACCTACAATTTGGGTAGGCTGGGCTTCGTCAGGTGAACAGCTGCACTTTGGTACAGCTCCCTGGGCCCACAAGCCTTTCAACACACACACACACACACACACACACACACACACACACACATCACACACAGAGGCATGCATGCACTTTTACTTCTTGTATTTTCCATATTTCCCTTTTATTTCTTTCTATAAAAAGATACAAAAAATGTAGCTAACACAACTTCCACCAAACAAAAGCACAAACAGATGGGCAGGAACCAAATTTATAGCAATGACTGGGACACAGAGCAAGAAAGAACTGTGGGGATAGAGAGGAAGACAGGCTTCGAGGTTATCTTCCAGTTTTCTTTAAGAACTTGATGTAAATATATGTTTCTGGGCATGGTGGCACCTGCCTCTAAATATTTGGGAGGCTGAGGCAGGAAGATTTGAAACAAAACACTAGGACCTTATCTTGAAAAACAAGAAAACTACAACAAATATTGACGATTGCCATTTCATAGAGATGGCTACCAAAATGTTTGATTAGCTGTTGCATTATATGCTAAATTATTTTTTCAAAATAAAAATGTGTGTTCCTTACCCAGGCTTAAAAAAACAATCAGGTAGCCAGGAATGGCTCTTCACTCTTTGGGATGACATAAATGGTATATTTTTTTCTTTTCCTATTTTCCTTTATTGAGACATAGTTTCTCTGTGTAGTTCTGGCTATCCTGGAACTCTGTAGACCAGGCTAGCCTCTAAATCACAGAGATTTTCCTGCCTCTGTCCCCCCAAGTACTGGGACTGAAGGTGTGCATCACCATACCCATTGAATATTGTAACTATTCAATGAACCCATCACTGATTACTCTAGCTGTTCCCAATCTGTGGGTCGAGATCCCTTTGGGTTTCACAGAAGTCGCCTATGACCATGGGAAAAACACAGATATTTACATATGATGTAGCAAAATTACAGTTATGGAGTAGCAATGAAAATAATTGGCGGCCAATTATTTTGGCGCCATGTGGTTGGAACTTTATCATGAGGAACTGTATCAGAGGGTCATAAAGTATTAGGAAGGCGGAGAACCGCAGGTATAATCCAACCCAGGGTTTCCTCAGCCTCCTGGGAGCCTAGCAGTGTGAATCCTGCATCCCAGGGCTCTGAATAACATGGGGTCTGTAACTTTGCCACCTTCTGATTTGTGTTGTTTTAGTGTCAAGGTCAACGGTGCCTGTCCTTGAAATGCACACCTATCACCAGGGTGCTGTAGAGAGGCCTGACACTGCACACTCCAGAAACTCTGTGCATATATGGCAATATAGACCAGGCTTTAAAGAGAGGGGGAGATGGGGCCACAGAGTGTGATTAAAATAATCTGCAGCCCAGACAGGGACCTGTAATGGTGGTGGTGGGTGAAGTGTCCAAGCATCTGCCATGCTGGGCATTTCCCCAAGAATTTGCCACAGCTTATTTTACTTGGTCCCTACCAGAACCTCTTGAGAGGGGAGCACTGATACCCATTTTACAGACAAAGGAAGAGGCTATGGTTTGTGCTAATGCTTGGCAGAACTAGGGTGTGAAACCAGACATGATGCTGCAGTCGAGCCCGTCCTGGGGTAGGAAGAGGCCTGCTTTCTGCAGCATGCTTGTCTACTCCCTCTGAGGTCTGCCTTGCTTTGTGTTCTTCCTACTCTTGCCTTTACAAACAACAAGAAAACTGAAGATGTCTACACCATTATACTTTTATTCTTAATGTATTTTTAGATTTTATTTGTATTTATGTGAATGTGTGTGTGTCTGTTTGTGTGTATGTCATGGGTGTTCGGTGCCTGCTGGTATCAGATCCCTTAGATACGGAGTTATAGATGGTTGTGAACTGCTTGACATGGGTGCAGGGAATCGAACTCAGGTCCTTTGGAAGAACAGCAAGTGCTCTTAACTACTGAGCCATCTCTCCAGTCCCCACTCTTGCCTTTTAAATACTGTTGGTTGTAGACTGTTCAGAGTTGAGTTGTTGTATGGCACCATTTCTTCAGATATTATGATCCCAATGTTAGAAACTGTATATCCTCTGATTCCCTGGATGTTCCCCACTTACATCTAGAAGCCCCCACCCCCACTCCAACGTAAGGGCTGACTCCTATACGGTAGGGGTCCTCAGGACTCACTGCATTGTCAAGGGCCTGGTAGTCTGCCTAGCTTACCTGAAGTGCTGCTTGCTGCATGCTACCTGAGGCTTCTCTGTGGGAGGAAAGCTGTGCAGTTTCCCAACCTTGGGCCTTCCTGTAGCAATGCCTCTCACACTGGGGAGACAGACTGGACTGGCCATTGGCTGGGTAAAGATCCCTTAGATACGGAGTTATAGATGGTTGTGAACTGCTTGACATGGGTGCAGGGAATCGAACTCAGGTCCTTTGGAAGAACAGCAAGTGCTCTTAACTACTGAGCCATCTCTCCAGTCCCCACTCTTGCCTTTTAAATACTGTTGGTTGTAGACTGTTCAGAGTTGAGTTGTTGTATGGCACCATTTCTTCAGATATTATGATCCCAATGTTAGAAACTGTATATCCTCTGATTCCCTGGATGTTCCCCACTTACATCTAGAAGCCCCCACCCCCACTCCAACGTAAGGGCTGACTCCTATACGGTAGGGGTCCTCAGGACTCACTGCATTGTCAAGGGCCTGGTAGTCTGCCTAGCTTACCTGAAGTGCTGCTTGCTGCATGCTACCTGAGGCTTCTCTGTGGGAGGAAAGCTGTGCAGTTTCCCAACCTTGGGCCTTCCTGTAGCAATGCCTCTCACACTGGGGAGACAGACTGGACTGGCCATTGGCTGCTAAACTGGCAAGAGAGGGGGAAACAGCCTATCCAGTCTCTGACTCCCAGGTGCTGTCCCCTCCACTGACACAGTTGCTAAGAGACTACGGTTGACTGGCAGGGCAGTGCTGCCGGATGCCTCGCCTCAAGCTTCACTAGATTCATGTGTTTTCCTTCTTGAATGGAGACATTCTTGGCTGTTCTTCTAAGTGACTCCAAATGCTTGTTCTTCCTTCTGGTCAATACATTAGCAGGGTGTAGTATGAGCTGAAATTTATTTTCAATTATTTCCATAGCAACGGGCCCTTCTAGTATCTGTTTTTGGCATCATTGGTTTTATCAAACTGTTTTTTCTGCAGTTAAAACCCACACTGAAACCAGACCGTAAACCTTTAGTATGGATTTAGCAGAATGACTTCAAGTATTAAGGGGAAAAAAGACATATTTCTTTAAGATTTATTTATTTATTTAGTGTGTGTGTGTGTATGTGTGTGTGTGTGTGTGTGTGTGTGTGTGTGTGTGTGCCTGCATGTGTGTATATATACTATGTACATGTCTGGTGCCCAAGGAGGCCAAAAGAGAGAATTGTAGTGATATATTATTTATGATTTATTAAAGCTTGCCTGAGGATTCAGAAAGCAAAGTCAGTCACAGGCCATAGAAGCCAGGCCCACACCTTTAATCCCAGCAGCCAGAAGTTAGTGGGTGTCGATACACACCTTTAATCCTAAAACTCAGTATTAAGAGATAGATGGACCTCTGTGAGTCCATGGCCACCCAGATCTACACAACAGTGAATCAGTCTAAAAGAGAATTACAGCCGGGCGTTGGTGGCGCACACCTTTAATCCCAGTACTTTGGAGGCAGAGGCAGGTGAATCTCTGTGAGTTAGAGACCAGCTAGTTCCAGGACAGCCTCCAAAGCCACAGAGAAACCTGTCTCAACCCCCCTCCCCCCAAAAAACAGAGAGAGAGAGAGAGAGAGAGAGAGAGAGAGAGAGAGAGAGAATATTATAGCTCACACCTTTAATCTCAACATTTGGGAAGTAGATAAGACAGAAGCAAGGTCTTGGTAGAGACATTCATTCTCTAGCCACACTGAGGAGAGGAGCATTTGTTCTCCAGTCATGCTGAGGAGAGGCAGCAGTTTGAGGCTTGGATCAGCTCCTTCAGTCTAAGGTAGAGGTAAGAAGCTACTGGCCAGCTGCTTTGCTTTTCTGATATTCAGCTTGAAGCTTTTGAACCCCAATATCAGTCTCTGGGTCTTTTATTTTTTCCTGTTACAGGGAATCAATCAGATCCCCTGGAACTAGAGTTACAGATGGTTGGGAACTGCCATGTGGGTTCTGGGAACTGAACCTGGATTCTCTGTAAAAACATTAGAAGCTCTTAGCCACTGTCCAGACTAGTGCCACTTAATGTATATATACATATACATATCTATATACACACATACACATATCTACATAATATATACACATACACACACATATATGTGTGTGTATGTGTAGGTATACATATATATACACATACATATATATATATATATATATATATATATATACATACATATATACACTGTGTGTGTGTGTGTGTGTGTGTGTGTGTGTGTGTGCGCGCGCATGGGGCTGGAGAATTGGCTGCTCTGATGTCCTCTTCTGGCCTCCGGGGGCACCAGGCACCAGACATACATGCAGATAAAACACACACAAAAACTAACATTTGAAAATTTAAAAAAAAACAAAAACAGAACAAAAGTTTTTGTATTATGGTTCCCCTTTATTTGAATTTTAAAGGTAAAACAAGTCATGCATGGCCTCCCATCTATGAATTCAGGAAGCTGAGGCAGGAGGATTGGCATTAGTTCAGCGTTAGCCTGGGCTACAGAGTAAGGCCCTGTCTCAAAAAAGGAAGGGAGGAAACGACAAGGAAGCAGGAAAGGAAACGTTCTTTTTTTTTATACAAATATTATGAGACCCCTTAAATCCTGACACCTATAAAAGGAAGAGTAAACTTTCCTTCCCTGCTCCAGGCTTCCACTCCTGTGGCCCAGGAGGAGATGGGCACACACGCATGTGTGCACGTGTTGAGTACACACAGGACTGCACTGCACTACTGTCCT